TTAATCCATGGCTTGTCATGTCGCCAGAAAAGACCAACAAACCTCACATTGGTGTGACTAGTTTTCTGGGCAATGTCACTTAAATCTTTCTCAATTTGATAATTGAGGTTTCTCTCCAAACTGTTACCTGGCCCCCCAACTATAACTACTTGATCTTCCTTACTAAAACCTTTGCACAATTTTCCAATGTCCCCAGTGACATTGCTCAGATCAGCATTGGGCTTGAATATGCTGGTCACAGCATATGCATCTCCCATTGCTTTCTGTAGCAATGTTAAGTTCCCACATTTTCTAGAAATCAGCTCATAGATTGCGGCAAGGTTATCAGCCCTACGCAATGGCCGCCATTTACCCCCAAGAATATTCCAAATATATTCCTGGTACTCATTTCTTTTAGAGGCTGAGTTGACCTCAGGGCCACAGTGCAGCTGGAAGGATTAGGTCAATTGAAAAAAATCCAGTGACCTCACTGGGTCTTGAACCCGTGACCTTCCGGCTTGTGGCATAGTGCCTCAACCAACTACGCTACTGTGTGCTTTTAATCTTTGCTTTAGAATACACGTTTGCATTATGAAGATGTGGGAAACCTGGATGGGACTGAAATTAAACAGGACACTTAAGCTGCTGGTCTATGCTGCTCCATCTGTTGGGAGATACCATGGATATGAGAAAGAAAAACACAGAAACTTTTAACTGATGCTTGAAAGGAAATGCAGAGAAACCTAAGTGTATGTTGATGTCTCCCCGCCAGAATGCAGGGCAAAATCGTAACATAAAAATAGCTGATAATCCTTTGAAACTGTGTCACAGTTCGAGAACGACAGTAAGAGTTCAAAATTTTATTCAGGAGAAAATTAAGATTAAATTGAATTCAGGTAGTGTTTGTTACCATTCAGTCCAGAACCTTCTGTCATCTTGCCTACTGTCTGAAAACATAAGAATTAGAATACACAAAGTATCAAGTTGCCTGTAGTTTTGTGTGACTGTAAAACTCGGTCACTGACATTAAGGGAGGAGGAACATTGACTGAGGGTGTTTGTGAACAGGTACTTGTATTTTGACCAAAGAGGGATGAAGTGACAGGATGTTGGAGAATAGTGCATAATGAGAAGCTTCATAAATTGTACTTCTCGATAAGACTAATTTGAATGATAAGATCAAGGAGGATGAGAAGGGCAGGGCATGTAGCACGCATTGAGGAATGGATATAGGATTTTGATGGGAAACCATAAGGAAAGAGACCAATAGGAAGACCTACATATAAGTGGGTAGATAATATTAAAGTGGATTTAATAGAACAGATCGAAACCTGATTCAGGAGGAAATTAAGAGGCGATTGAACTCGGGTAATGCTTGCTACTATTCAGTCCAGAACCTTTTGTCTTCTCGTCTGTTGTCCAAAAACATAAAAATTAGAACATACAAAACTATAATTTTGCCTGTGGTTCTGTATCGGTGTGAAACTTGGTCTCTGATATTAAGGGAGGAACATAGACTGAGGGTGTTTGAGAACAGGGTGTTGAGGAGAATATTTGGACCAAAGAGAGATGAAGTCACAGGAGGTTGGAGAAAACTGCATAATGAGGAGCTTCATAACTTGTACTCTTCTCCAAGTATAATTAGAATGATCAAGTCAAGGAGGATGAGGTGGGAAGGTCATGTAGCACGAATGTGGGAGACGAGGAATGCACGTAGGATATTGGTGGTAAAGCCAGAATGAAAGCTACCACAGGGAAGACCAAGGCGTGGACAATATTAGAATGGATCTTAGAGCGATAGGATGGGATGGTATGGATTGGATAGATCTGGCTCAGGATAGGGACCAGTGGAGGGCTCTTCTGAACATGGTGATGAACCTTCGGGTTCCATAAAATGCTGGGAAGTTCTCGAGTAGCTGCAGAATTGGTGGCTCCTCAAGAAGGGCTCAGCTCCATAAGTAAGTAAGTAAGTATGGATGGGACGGTATGGTCTTGATTGTTCTGGCTGAGGATAGGGATCAGTGGAGGACTCCTGTGAACACAGTAATGAACCTTCAGGTTTCATAAAATTTTCTGAAATTCTTGCGTGGTTGAGCGACTTCTCAAGAAGAGCTCATATCCATGGAGTTAGTTATAAACTGAGGGCTTTGCTTACCCTGATTTGCATCTCCCAAGGATCTGGGCTGTGTACAAAATTTTTGAGCATCTCTCAATGCATACAAAATAACATACCCTTGTTTGCAGCCACCATAGGGCTGTCTTGTATTTCACCTCTGTTGTAATTGAATGTTTATTCTTTTCCTTACCTTGATGTAAATTTATATCACTAATTTTGATTTGTCTTCCTGCTTACGTGTTTGTGTGCTGTGTCCACATACATAATTATGCATGTGACTTTGTAAATGCTGGTTGCAGGAAATTGCAGATAACCCAGAGCTGTTTGTGGAGGGTGCCAGTAGGTTCGATGTGCAACAAGGAGAGCTTGGTAAGTGAATGGGTGAGTGAGCAAGTTAGTGAAAAGGCAGAATCAGTAGAATAGTTGGTTTCATGCTAGTAAGCTGGAGCAGTGAGCCAATAGGACTTATTTCTTACCATCACGGTCAACTATTTAAATTTTTTATTTGAGTCAACTTTATATCACAAGAGTGAAACCAATTTCACCATACACCATGTAATTTCTTTTGTGCTATATGCACCAATAGAAACACTTTAATTTCTTGTGATGCACTGTTCAGTTTCCAATAATTGTGGAGTACCAGCAGCCAAATCATTATTTTCTAATGCTCAGAGAAACATTTATGCTTTAAGATTTTTACCCTGCAATTCATTAATTAGAGCTCAGATCCCTATTTTTGAGCATTAGTCACCTGCATGTTTCTCTATCACTGTCTTTAACAAGAAAAACACATTTGTACATGATAATATTACTTTATGATGCCTTGATAACTCAAGTTTAATGATGAAGTTCATCTACTCTGTGAACCCTTCTGTGTAAGTATGTTTGATTTCCCCCTGGTGTCTGAATACCGGAAATATGTTTAAAATATAACATAGTAACTTTCTAATGATGACATACTCATAATGGTGTACATCAATAACTGATGATGACGCGCCCTTGAAATATGACTGAGTGCAAATGCCACTTGTGAGTTATAATTTGTCACTGCCATCCACATAGGCACTCCTGCAGCATACAAACTCCACACCATTCTCACATACAGGATTGTGGAGGTTACAAAGGAATTGCTTATCAGCTTCATGCTCTGGCAACTTTGGCCTACTGACAAGTCCTCTCATAACCTATGGATAGGAGGGTGTATAGGTATAAAAATATTTTACATATGTGGGGAAGGCAGGTGAACCACATGGTAACATCACTGACCCTGGTCTCATCTGTTACAGGAGACTGCTGGCTGCTGGCAGCTGTTGCGAACCTCACACTTAATAGGGCTTTGTTCTCACAGGTAGTTCCTGATGATCAGAGTTTTGGGGACAAGTATGCTGGCATATTTCACTTCAGGTATATGCCATGATTTTCTTATTGGAGAGAGTAGTAGTGCCATTCAGGTAGTGCAGAGAAAGTAAAAGTTTCATTTCATTTCATTTTTATTATCATTCAACAATTCATACATACAGGTATTACAACCATTTGGATAGGGAAATTGTCAGTTTTACATCTAATTCTCGTGCATATCTTTACAGTATACACTGTACCAACCCTAATATAGGGGGTTTGTCAGTCATCTGAATAATATTATCTAGATCAGCGTTGCCCAACCTAATACATTTCGAGGGCCAAATTTAGTTTATAGAACACCATCAGGGGCCAGATACAGTGTTTCTTTCAGAAGAGTTATCGGGGAGTATTGCCCCCCAAACTGAATCAGTCACAACCCGTGTAAAAACAAGTACATTTCAACCTATGTATTTAAATTTTACGTTGCACCAATAATATTAAGCCGATATTGAAAATTTCACCAATCGATTTCATTGCCTTCTATCACTTCTACCCCCAGAGCATTTTTTCTTAAAGAAACACTGGCCAGATCATGTCTTATGTTTAGTTTTATATATGCCGGGGGAAAATGCAATTATAATTTAAGAAAGAAAAATAAAATGCCTTGAAATGTGCAATTACTTACCATAAAACAGCACAAATTCCTCTTTCAGCAGGGATGAGCACAAAAGACTTTCAATCATAGTTTTTATGGTCTAATGATTATACCTAAATCCTCATATACACACTGTTTTAATGAGAGCACTGTGGTTTCATAAAACTGGAAACCAATGATATAAAATCCACTTCTAATTGTGAGGTTGCCACTCGAAGAATATGTGATAACACGACATCTGAAAGTCTGTTCCTGTTCTTAGACTTTACATGCTTCAGCGATGAAAACGCTGTCTCGCATATGTAAGTACTTGCAAAAACAGAGCAAAGTTTGAGAGCCCAATTTCGTAACAGTGGGTAACGTTCTGGTGAAAGCAGTTTCCAAAAGTCAATTCCAGTAACCTGAGATGTGTTTAAGGATGGGTCACATTGAAGTTCACAAAGCTCTAATTGCAGATGACCTGGCTGAGATTCTATATCACAATGTATAGGATTACTGAATAAAGAAATATCAGGTCGAAAGCTTTCAAAATCGTTAAATCGTCGGTCGAACTCTGAAGACAAATCTTCAATAATTTCAGTGTAGTCCCTAAACTCCAAGCCTTCTTCTTCTTCTGAGAGTTTCCGACAGCAAGGGAAATGTAGAAGGTTATTTTTGTCCAATGCAGACTTAAATAAATGTAGCTTTTTACGGAAACTGTCAACAAAGCCAACCATCTGACATATTGTCTGCTTCTTGCCTTGCAATTGCAGATTCAGGACATTCAAGTGTTGAGTGATATCAGTGAGAAAGGCCAAGTTTCTCAAGAATTCGACGTCTTCGAGATCATTCTGCAGTTCAGCAGAATTCGTAACCTCTTCTCTTAGGAATGTTGCTATTTCATGACGGAGTTCAAAGAACCGTACCAGACATTTCCCACGGCTTAACCATCTTACTTCAGTGTGCAGAAGCAGGTCCCCGTAAGCAGAATCCATTTCTTCCAAGAGGGTCAGAAATTTTCTGTGAGTGAGTGATCGATTTCCTCCTCTGATCAAATTAGTAATTTTTGTGACAGTAGCCATGGTGGTAGACAGTTTAATTGATTTGGCACATAGAGCCTCCTGATGTATAATACAATGCAAGGTAGGTACAGTAATTTGATTCTGTCTTAAAAATCCAACAAAACCGCTTATTGTCCCTGTCATTGATTTAGCGCCATCTGTTACTATGGAGGACAATTTTTCAAAACCACCGAATTCCTCCACTGCACTCTTAACAGCGTTAAAAATATCGACACCTCTAGTTGTACTGTGTAAAGAGCACACTTTTAACAACTCTTCGAAAATTGTAAAATCTTCCTTAATTGCACGAACAAATATCAGTAACTGATTAGTATCCGAAACATCTGTGCTTTCGTCGAGAGCAATTGAGAAATAGGAACAATTAGCGATAATGTCTTTCACATTATTAGATATCTGGTTGCTAATATCTTCCAGCCTCCTAGTAACAGTCTGTTTTGAAAGGGGCACTGTTTGAAATTTGTTTCCTACCTTATTTTCATTGAAAGCTTCTGCCATCTTTATCGCACAGTTCTTAATTAATTCACCATCACTTAACGCTTTTTTAGCTTTCATTAATTCATATGTCACGAAATAAGAAGCCAGCAAAGCTTCTTCTTGTTGTTGTGTTTCATTGGTAAAAAGAGATTTCTACTGGAAAAGTTTTTTTCTTTAACTGATCGCAGACTACTTTCCTTGATTCACAAGAGTGTTTTCCGAACTTTTGTTTATGATTTGTCACGTAATGCCTCTTTAGGTTTTACTCCTTTAAAACTGCTAGCACTTGAAAACATACTAAACACTGTGGCTTGTGGTCTTTATTTAATATAAAAAAATACTCATGTTCCCACTCAGATTTGAACGCCCTATTTTCGCTATCAACTTTTCTCAATTTACTATTTGACATGCTGTATCACTTACAATAACTTCAAACACAATTTTAATTGAAAAACAGTTCTACACTCACACTCTGTAATCACACTTCACTTATAAAATCGCACTAACTGGGAGACATTTCTGCTAAAACTGGCACTTAAGAAAGGCCAGGACGCCGAGAGAAACGGTAAATATCCCATCGCCGCGAGCAAGCTGGGAATGGTTACTATTTTGAAGGTGTCATAAATCCTTCACCACTACGGTCTTCCTTTCAGTGTCATCTCTCTACAGAAGTAGGGTTGGGGGACTTGGGATTTCCATGACATGAACACAGTTATTAGAAAACAGTTTGAACTGTCCAGCTCGGTAAGAACGTATACACTCAACTGCAAAATGCTGTAAGCTAATGAAACGTCCTATTAATAACTGAATTCTATGCCAATACAGCTGCGAAGTTAAGATTTTTGAAAATAAACCCGAGACTTGGCGGGGGGCCGGAGTAAATCAAGTCGCGGGCCGGATGCGGCCCGCGGGCCGCCAGTTGGCCATCGCTGATCTAGATCTAGTTACCGTTAATTTCATTGTCTTCAAACAAATACAACAAATTAATCGGCTGCATATTACATTTACACACTTGATGAATCAAAAGACATAAATTCATCTACAGAATAAAAGGAATGTGGAGTTAGTGGAGTTTTTATTCTCTTTTACCTGGTAGTGGATGAGTGGCCTGTTACTGTATTACAAAACAGAATTTTCCTGTATTGTTAGACATCTTCCAAAGTTTCTTCTTTCTGTGGCAGAGTATAATGTTGTGTGCCTTTAAATATGGCCTATTTGGAATGTATCTGTTTAGCAAGAATGAAACATGCGTTTCTGTTTCAGAAGGTGCATGTTTAGATTTGTAAAGTGTTAACATATGAACTCTGTCAGCTGCTTACCTTGTGTATGCTGAGTATTATTTCTGATGCTCAGAAATGTCACAGAAATATACTATGGTAATAAAAGGGGTTCAGAGGTACCCAAAACAAATATTAAAAAGTGCAAACTGAAAGACAAAAAGGAATTAGGAAGTATAAAGATATGAACAATTGAGTTTTAATAATTTGGAGCCAGAAAAGACCAAGAGAACTTCATCAGTGATACTGATAAAGGAGGAGATGCTGCTTGTGGTGGTGCTGTTCCTGCATTTACTGGCATGAGCCCCTACATGTTCAGTGAGGCAGTTTTGGTGTGTGTTGATAACACCAGTTTTCTGTGGAATAAAATATGACAACAAGAGGACATACCCTAAGCAGGAAATACCATGCTTATCACTGGTGGCTTGAGGAATCATGCTGAGTTCTATATGTTCATAAAAGATGGCAGAGTATGACTGACTATGTAGATGTTGTAAGCTGGATGGGCCTTGTCTAGGCCATTGTTATGTATACATATATTAAAAAAAAAATAGATGTAAGAAAACCGGAAGTTCTGGGAAGAATGAATTGCCTAATTGCCATTGAAACAACACAGACTGCATAGAGTCCAACAATTCTTCTGTTGTTACATTGCACCATTAACAGTTGTACTGAGCCGTAGCCAAGCTGTGACAAGGGGATTCACCCACAGACAGAGACTGATGTGAGGGATTCATGAAGTGTATCATTGAGATGGGCTCAGGTGCAATGATATGCATAGTGGGTTTCACAGAGATTGGTTCAGGCTCTCAGAAGTTGGTAGGTGGGGATAACAGACAGCATGATGACTCCATAAGCCTGCTCTTATTTTATAAAAATAAGGAAAGTTTGCTAATAAAATGCGAAAGCCACAGGCTTGGTGCCCCAAAGTGTAGCAGCGTGTTGCAGTCTGCAATAGGCTGAGGTATCCCAATAGTAACAGTGTAATCTCAACTGCACTAGATTGGGATGTCTCAGACAAATCATTGTGGCCTGGTCTTTGCTGAGTGAAGGCAAAGTAATGTGATGTGGTCTGTGATGCATGGAAAACCAGAATATACCAGATAGACAATGTGGTATGAGCTACACAGGTCTGGGTATCCAAACTGTAACAGTGTGGTGTAGTCTGTGCTAGGACAGAATAACGCACATAAAGGAAGTTTCTGGTTTTGATATTGTGAATGTAACAATTGGGTGTGTTCTATATAAGGTGAAGCAGTGTGTTGTGGTCTGCACTAGGTTTGGGATTCATGAGGATGACAATGTGATATGGGCCACACTAAGACAGGATGTCACAGATACAGCAACATGGTATGGTCTATGCAAGATAGGGATGTCCCGGTTGTAACAATGTGGCATTCTCTTCACTAGTCTGCAGTGTGCCAGTTTGCACAAGACTGGAATATTCTGGGTGCAATAATTTCTTTCTTAGCTGATTTTCTGACTTGCTGTTAACCCTTTATGATGAAGGCAAAGCTTCCTCAATAAGGTTGGGCTGGAGCAAGGTCATATTTGGGAGATGCCTGGCAGATGTGATGGGTAGCTTGAATTCCAGGTGCGTGTTATTTGTTTGCATGTAAAATTCATGAATTGGTTAGATCTTGTCCTTATGCAGGTTCTGGCAATATGGACGCTGGGTGGATGTTGTGATAGATGATCGCCTGCCCACTTACGGTGGGAGGCTGGTGTTCCTCCACTCGTCAGAGCACAATGAGTTCTGGAGTGCTCTCCTCGAGAAAGCATATGCAAAGTGAGTAGAGATTTCTTACTTATAATTAAGACTTGATGTAGTTCTCTGCTTCTGAATCAGTCCTTGGGTCTCTTTCTAATGACATGACATTAATATTGAATTGTATTCCATGGATCCAAAGTTAGTCAAATGACTGTAGGGTGTGACATATGTCACATAAATACAAAACATATGTACAGTCCCGGTGGAGTTCTCACGAGAGAGAAACCAAGAATACACAGTGACTACACACAAGGCTATTTAAAGATACATAAGTTATTTTCTAGAAAATAGGTATTCATCAACAGAGTAGAATGAGTGTGTATTTAAGTATCGATTCAGTGCTATTTTAAATTGTGCTTCTTCATTCATAAGACCTTTGAGATCAGATGGTAAGTTATTAAAAATTTTGATCCCAGCATAACATGCACTTTTCTGAAAGCATGAGAGGTTAGCAGTTTGTTTATGAAGGCAGTTATTGTGTCTTGTGTTAACACTGTGTACATTCAAATTCATCTGAAAATGTTCTTTGTTATATGTAATGAAGTTTATTAATGAATATATATATATTCACAAAAAAAAAAAAAGTTAAGATCTGTAGTCTCTTAAATAGATCTGTACAGGAATTATGGGATTTGACACCCATCATGATTCTAACAGTTTTCTTTTGCAATGTAAATACCTTTTTACTGCCAGGTGAATTACCCCAGAAAATTATTCCATACTTCATTAAAGAGTGAAAGTAAGCAAAATAGATTGATTTGAGAGTATCATTGTTACTAATATGTAACATGAATATAACTGCATAACATGCTCTGCTTAGCTTTGGAATCAACTGATTATCATTATATCAAATGTTTAATGGATATTGTGGTGAGTTTCATGTTATAAATTTTATTACTAATGTTATATTTTAGCGTCCTGTTGCACTGATTTAAGTCCATGATTTTTTTCAACCGTCTTCCAGTGCATACATTCATCTATCTCACTCCTCTCTCTCGCACTACATGTTTCGGCACAAAAGTGCCATCTTCAGGTGCTTATGCGATTTACGATAAAACTAGTTCACTGCATGCCTTGCCGTCTTCATANCAGAGGTGTGAGATAGATGAATGTATACACTGGAAGACGGTTGAAATAAATCATAAATTTTATTACATTTGTTTTTTATAGGTTCAGGGACAGCTTGTTCTCAGAAAAACATTTACTCATTTCGAGAGAACCTTTTTTCGATAACATGCAGAACTCATCTAAATTTTTACCAGAAATTATAACATTAGTGTCATCTGCAAATAATTAGTGGTATTGATGAGGTCCTTAGTGTAGGAGGGAGGTCGTTTATATAAATTAGGAAAAGCAAAGGCCCTAAAATTGACCCCTGTGGAACTACATGTTTTATTATTCCCCAGTTTGGGTAGGTACTTTGGATTGAATTTGATGATTTTATTTCAATCTTTTGTTTTCTTTCTGTTAGGTAGGATCTGAACCAACATAACATTCTTCGATAAATGATATAACTCCGTCTCAAGTGCAAACAATATATTTTGTGTCTTTGATCTTGCTTCCCCACACTACATGTTTCGGCCTCAGACGGCCATCATCAGGCGTATAACACTCTCACGTTGCTGTCACACTGCACCCAGCTCAAAATTTAACATCTAAAACACTCTCCCTGTCATTATCAACTTCCAATCCGTTGATAGCTGTCTGGCTCGTAGATTATTTCACACACGTTAATTTTACTTTATTGTAATGGCACCATAATAAAATCTTTAGTTCTAATTTTAAAACCTTTAAATTCTTTCTCCAAATTTTAAAATTTTAAAATTATTAGGGTTATTCGCCCCATGTTTAAAGTGCTGCAGCGGCTAGTTCTTGTTTCCACACTGTATAGTTGTTATCTGTAATATACAAATATATTTGTATTACCATCTTATGTATGTGGTGTTTTCTTATGTGTGTATATTGTTATTTGTACTTATGCTGTGTAGTCTTTCTGTGTGCGTGCCGCTGCTATTCTTTATTACATGTGCTGTCTGATGTACTGTGTGCTGAGTTTTATGTTGGTGAGTGTAGGGGGGAATGGGTAGTGGGGAGAGGAAGGTACCGTTAGTCTGTATATATTTCGTGTATCGTTTGAAATATGGGATTGTGTGTTTCTATGTGTGTATCATTCATGTGTAGGCC